GACAGGTACTGAAATCCCCATTTCATAGCTGCAGAAGTGAAGACTCCACGAGCTTATGTGAGTGGTGTAGTAGGGTCATCCAGCAAGTAGGAACGAGGGTATTTTGGCATGACCTAAAAAACAAAATACCCAACTTTGAAAAAAAAAGGATTATTACCCAAGCCTTGTGCTCAGCAGAGACCCTCTATTCTTGTCTTTTCTCTGGGTGGGCAGGGGTTGGAGTCCCAGACTCACTGGCATTGACAAAGCATGATGGAGTAAAAAGAAGCTTTGGAGTCAATGCACTGGTCACAGACAACAAACGGAACATACTCTGCACATGGCAGGAGTTGCTCTGACTCATGGTGACCCTGTGGACAACAGAACAAAATGTTGCCTGGTCCTGCACCATCTTCACAATCGTTGTTATGCTCAAGTCCATTGTTGTGCCCACTGTGTATTTTGAGTGCCTTCCAATCTAGGGGTCTCATCTTCCAGAACTCCACTGGACAATCTTCCACTGTAATCCACAGCGTTTTCACTGGCTTATTTTTGGAAGTAGATTTCCAGGCCTTTCTTCCTAGTCTGTCTTAGTCTGGAAGCTCTGCTGAAACCTGTCCACCATGGGTGACCCTGCTAGTATTTGAAATACCTGTGGCGTAGCTTCCAGCATCATAGCAACAGGCAAGCCACCACAAGACAACAAACTGACAGACAGGTGGTAGAGGTGCTCATTACATAGCAGCTAGTATTACCTTTAGGAAGAAGTTCTCTGTTGGCACCTACCTTTAGGTCCAGGTACATTTTCACAGGAACTGCCTGGGAAAAGCAGGGAGGAGGGACTGAACTAACCCTCTCCTCTAAGACTGGATTTCCTGCTCCTTCCTCTCCTAGCTGTTTCCTCTCAAATTCAAGACCCTCTGCAATACAGCATAGTGGCTAAGAGCCCATACTCTCGATTCAGAGTACCTGGATTTGACTCCCATCCCGGTGACCTACCAACTGTGTGACCTTGGGCAAATGCCTCACCTCTCTGTGCCTCAATTTTCTCATCTGTGAAAGGAAGTTGCCCTGGGGGATGGAGTGAAGATTAAATGAGTTAAGACGTGTAGAGCACTTGGGAAGAGCTCAATGGGCTGTTATCAGTTGCCATCAAGTTGATTCCACCTCATAGCGACCCCATGTGTGCAGAGTAGATCTACTCCAGAGAGGTTTCAAAGTTGTGACCCTTTGAAAGCAGATCGCCAGGCCTGTTTTCCAAGGTGCCTCTGGTTGGGTTCAACCTACCAAACTTTTGGCTAGTAGTCAAGCACTTAACAGTTCGTGCCACTCAGGATTCCTCAAAACGTGCTAGCGATAATTATTATTCCCACTTCTAACCTAACCCACAGAGCTTGTCGCCCCTCTCAGGCCATGCTGGTCCAAGCTGAACAGCAACGGATGCCCAGCTAACAAAGTTCTGTCCTCCTCTCACTCTCTGACAGGAAGGAGAGAACTATGTTGATTTAAGAAAGGAGAGAAACTAACGTTTTTTAAGCCTGGCACCATACTAAGGACTTTGCATATATTGTTTCATTTAATCCTTACAGCGACACTCTACAATGAGCACAATTATCTCCAGTTTCCGGATGCGGAACTTGAGGTTCAAAGAGCTTCAATCGGGGCTTCTAACCAGTTCATTCCAGTTTGAACCCTGAGAATTTGCTTTTCCACCCCAGATACAGTGAATCACAGTGTACAGTTTGACAAGATCCCCAGATGATTCTTACATATGATAAATTTTGAGAACCACTGCTCTTCTACTAGTGGTTCTCTGAATTAATCCCTAACAAGTAGCATTAGCATTACCTGGGAAATTGTTAGAAATGCAAATTCTCAGCAGGGGCTCAAACCTGAAGGAACCAATTTGAAGCCCTGGTTTCAATAAACCAAGAAACCAAACCCGTTGCCGTCGAGTGGATTCCGACTCATAGTGACCCTATAGGACAGAGTAGAACTGCCCCATAGTGTTTCCAAGGAATGGTTGGTGGATACTGTCAACCTTTTGCTTAGCAGCCAAGCTCTTAACCACTGTGCCACACCAGGGCTCTGTTCAATAGCCATGCCTAAAATCACACAGCCCCCAAGTGACAGAGCTGACAGCTGAGCTGAGGATCCCTGCTCTGTGCCACTCTCCAAGCCAATAGCAACCATGCATGAAAAGGCAAATGGACGCCCCCTCCCCCATGATTAAGAGGAACTGTTAACCCCTTGCAACTGAAGAGCATTTTATATTATTCAAAAGTGCTTTCACATACACTGGAGTCCCCGAGTGGTGCAAATGATTAAGCACTCAGCTGCTAACTGAAATGGTACAGGTTGAAGTCCACCCAGCGGTGCCTCAAAAGAAAGGCCTAGTGATATGCTTCCAAACAATCAGCCATTAAAAACCCTATGGAGTGCAGTTCTACTCTGACACACACGTGGTCACCATGAGACAGCAACTGGTTTCTTGCTACACCTACATTATCCTGTTATCCGCCCTCCATTTTCCCACATCTCACACTAGTCCTTCAAGCTAGAAGACTCAGGGGGCTATTATGCCCATTTTATAGATGAAGGAGTTGAGGCAGTATATTTTGCCCAACTGTTAGTGCAGGATGCTGGACTCATGGGTTGTCTTCTTCACGCAATGGCCCGTAGGTGCCCAGGACAAGGAAGGCATTTGGCAGAGTGAGATAAATCAGCCCTGACTTTGCCCACTGTCAGTGAAGGGATGAGCATGTAGCCTTTTCCAATCTGATCCATCTTTGCTGAGCCTTTTGACAGGTGCTCCCACCGGGGAATCACTGCCATGGTGGCCTGCAGTGCCCCTCAGGTGGTCCCCCAACAGCATCCCTGAGCATATCCAGGTTGGTGTTAACTCTGGCGTTTGGCTAAGGCCACACTCCAGGACTTCATCACTGCCCTGGTGTGAAAGGGCTGGGACAATCAACCGGACTCAAGAGAGGCTCGAATTGCCACCTGATACTCATATCTGTCCCATCTCCCCAACCTGCCCCTCACCCCCTTCGTCTTCCAAAGAACAGAAGAAAGACAGTGTCTTTATCTCCACAAGGAAATAAAAGATTTCCTTACTGGGAAATTCCCCTGAAGGAAAGAAAGAACCAAGATAAATAACTCTATTGCCTTTGGCTCGAGCTATCAGGGGTGTCTCTGGGAGGAGGGGGCAGAGGCCAAGGCAGTAGGGGGAGGCCCGGGAGATAATGCCCTGTCCTGCAAGCCTTGGGCCTGGCCTCCTTCCAGCTTCCTTATCTTTATGAGCACTCATTACATGCTGCCCAGCACTCATTATCTTGCTTTTCCCCTTTTAACACTCTCTTTGTGAAGCCCATTCCAAAGTGTAAAGCCTTTCAAAGTCCGTGGGAAAGTGCAGACTCCTGTCTCCTCCGCTCTCCCGCTCTAGGCTGCAGTTAGGGTCCTGGCAAGAGCTGCAGTCAGGACAGGCACTGAAACCGTCCTCCCTCCCCAGCCCTGGGCTGTGTCCACAGTGGTGACAAGGTTCACATGGGTTGCACCCTCTGCGCGGCCTTATCTTGCATTCTCCATTGTTATCTGCTCTGGCCTCACCAGGCAGGATATCAAAGGCTATGCCACCTACATTTTTAATCCTGACCCCAGAACTGAGTGGCTGGGAAACCTTGGGCATGACACTCAGCATCTCAAGATCTTGACTTTCTTATCCATTTGTTGTTGTTAGCTGCTGTCAAGTTGGCCCCTGACTCATGGCAACCCCATGCACAATGGAACAGAATGCTGTCCAGTCTGTCACCATCCCCATCATCGGTTGCAGTTTGGACCATTGTGGTCCATAGGGTTTTCATTGGCTGATTTTTGGAAGTAGATCACCAGGCCGTTCTTCCTAGTCTGTCTTAGTCTGGAAGCTCCGCTGAAACCTGTTCAGCATCATAGCAACACGTAAGCCTCCACTGACAGACAGGTGGTGGCTGTTCATGAGGTGCATTGGCTGGGAATCAAGCCTGGGTCTCCAGCATGGAAGGCGAGAATTCTGTCACAGTCGTGGTTCGGTAGTAGAATTCTTATCCATAAAATGGTTCTAATTAAATCTATCTTGTCTTATTTAGAGGGAAGTTATAAGGCTCAAGTGAAATAGTGTAAATCATAGTGCTTTGATAAGCAAAGGAGGCTCTACAAACAACGGGGATAAGCATAAGGGATAAAGATGTTATTGTATTTGAGATGCAGTACAGTACAGTTCAAGAGGACTTTGGAGTCAGACAAATCTGAGTTTGATCTTGTCCCCCACCCGCACCTGCACACCTAATTCCTGTGTGACCTTGAGGAAAGTACTTAGTCTTTCAATTTTCATTCCCTCAGCTGTAAAATGTGGATACCCACCTCATAGGGTTGATATAAAGTTTAAAGGAGATAATGCATGTAAGTTATCTAAGACACAATGATGGTGGTTATCACCATTATCATTACATTTACAACCTTAATAATTATGAGCCCTCCTCTGTGGGTCTCAGCTTGCTCCTCTGAACACACCATAAAATATGCCAGCCCCTTCCACCTCCCAGGGGTGTATGGAGGGCAACTGAATCAGAAAGATGTGGCCACATGTTGTCAGAACCAATCAGTCAGTGAATCATTCCTGAGATTTCATGGTATGCCTTGGATCTTGCCTCACAGATGGGGACACAGAAGAAATGGTGCATGTACCCTTATCCCAAAGGGGTTTGTGGCTCAGTAGAGAGAATAAAAACCACTTGTAGCTGTTGAGGAAGAAGACGCAGTGTCAAATGGGGATTTGAGACATGATGGGAAAAGATGGAGCCATTCATTCATTCAACAGGATGTATGTCAGTTGCTGGAGACACAAAACCAAATAAGCTCTCCAGAAACTCTAAGTTCAGCTAGTTTTGGAAGACAGAGAAGTTTCATCTCCTGTGGTTATTGTCTTCCAGCATCTCACACAGGAAGTGGCCTGGTCAGCACGGCCTCTGACGGAGCCACCAGCCATGACACTTTTGCTTCTCGCCTGCCTGCTGGCTGTCTTCCCAGGTGCGTCTGCCAGTCCTAAGTAACTCCCTATGGTTCCACCCCCTCCAGCCACTCTTGGGGGCCCAGTTCCTTGGGGACATTGAAATCAGACCCATCCCAGGGATGTCCCTCTCAAAACATGCATGTCTTGAGGAGGAGTCACACAGAGACACTGCAGGAAGACCGAGTCTGAAAAGGGATTGATGAGGATTGGGGATCAGGGGCAATTCCTACTTTCAAGGCCAGGGGTCTGGTGAAGGGACTTTACTGGGAATAAAAAAGACCTTGACCTCTGGATCAAGCATCCTATGACTTGCTATGGGATTTTAGGAAAATCAATTATCCTTCCTGGATCTCAATATTTTTATTGGAACAAAAAAGGAAATAATCTACAAAGTATTTTTAGAAATAATGGCAAATGCAAAGGTGTAGTATCCTTCAAAGGTGGTGCTATTTTTTTTTTAATGGGGAATATCATTAAATAAGTTTGCTATTCCATTGTCCCTAAAATGAATGTCATTAATTAATTACAAATATTACTTAATAATGATCAATCAATCATTTTACCCAATTCCAGCAAGGGTCTAGCTTTCTGTAGTAAATATTCCACAGAAAGCATATGTGGTAGCTGGAAAATTTTATCTTTTCAAAGTGGGCTGTCTGGATCCCTTTAGCAGAGTTTACCTCTCAAGGGCCTCAGAAAGCCTCTGTCTTCTCTCTCCAAAGCGGTTTCCATGAAGAGTCCCATATTCGGTCCCCAGGAGGTGAGCGCTGTGGAAGGCAACTCCGTGTCCATCAAGTGCTACTACCCAGACAACTCTGTTAATCGGCATTCCCGGAAGTATTGGTGCCGGCAGGAAGCTGCGGGCCACTGCATAACCCTCCTCTCCTCAGGGGGCTTCACCTCCAAGAACTACACTAACAGAGCCAACCTCACCAACTTCCCGGAGGACCACGTGTTTGTGGTGAACATTATACGTGTCTTCCAGAATGACACTGGGAAATACAAGTGTGGTCTGGGCGTAAATAACCGAGGCTTGTCCTTTGATGTAAGCCTGGAGGTCAACAAGGGTAAGGACTCAGGCTCCTTGGGCTTCTGTGGGAAAGTGAGAGGGAATTACCTCAGGTGCAATGGGAGGGCTAGAGGAAGAACTTCCTGAGAGGGAAGGATGTGTAGTTCTAGCATGGGATGAGGAAGGCTTTGGGCCCTCCACCCTCTGGAGGCATGGACTTTTCATAATAGGTGATGGGAAGGAGACATATGAGGCCAACATGGGGGCAGGGGTAGACCTCCCTAGGTCTTTGGGGCCTATACCATTATATGACTTTACTGAGGCCCTAGCTTAAAATGGCACCAGGAGGACAATTTCTCTCATGTTTGCTACAGGTGGGACAGGAGGTCTGTGAGCTGAGGGAGATAGAAAAGTTAGAGGGAGCCATAAATTCCTACCATTAACACTCCGGGTCACCAGAAGCTCTAAATTAAATGTGTGTTTGTTACCAGGGATCCATTAGTCATCAACACCATTAGCATAAATTAGATGACCAGTTCTCTTCCACAGAACAAGGCCCTGAAGGGATAGGTCACTGAACAAGCCTGTCCTAAGTGAGAGAAAGAAAGAATAAGAGAGATCTTCCTGGCATAGATTCAACAGTGAGGGCATTTTAGATAGCCAAAGGCAACTAAGAAGAAAAGTGAGTCTTAAGCGAGGAAATTTTGAAGAGAGAAGAGGGGCTCCCAAAGATGTGTCTTTCTCCTTTGGGATGTGCATAGTATTGTCTGTTTGTGGGCTAGATAAAGGATTTATTCAAGTGGTGATAGAGATTTCTAGAACTGCGGGATCTTAAGAGCAGAGGGGAGCTTAATGTTCACCCTGTATAGGATGTTCTAGAAGAACATTGTAGACTGAATGCATCCTCTGATTAAACAGGACTTCACAAAGCAGCCCACCCTGTGTTTGGACTGTTGGAATTTTTAGAAGCTCCTATGGCAATGAGCTACTGTTTGCCGCCCTGTTACTTAGATTCATTCTGTTCATTTCAACCACATTGTTTTGGGCACCTACTATATATGGGCATTGTGCAGGGCAGTTAAACAGGAACAAAACGTGTCTCTGCCCTCAAGGCGCTTCCAGACTGTGGAGAAAGCAGAGAGGAATATAATTAACCATACTCAAGATTGAACATAATAAGTGATTCTGATGTAAGTATCAAGAGAGCACAGAGCAGGGAGAGATTACGGCTAGCCTGAGGAAGGCTTCATGGAGGAGGCAGCATTAAAGCTGGCCTTGAAAGACACAGGTTGACAGTGTCCCTTTGGGGAGGAGGGCATTCCAGGTGATAGGCACACCCAAACCCTTATTAACAATGAGTAGTCCTTTGTTGCAAGGAGGTAGAATCACAACTTGTACCCCCACCCCATCCTGCAGCTCCTGAGCTCTCCAGTGACACTCAGCTCTACACAGAGAAGCCGGGCAGAAATGTGACCATCAACTGCCCTTTCAAGGAAGAGAACATCCAGAAGAAGAAGTCCTTGTGCAAGAAGACTGGCCAAGACTGTGTACTAATCACTGACTCCAGTGGGTATGTGAACCCCAAGTACAAGGACAGGGCACGCTTTGAACAGTACAGTACGAACCAACTAAAGTTCGGCGTCGCCATCGACCGAGTCCGGCCTGAGGATGCTGGGGTGTATGTGTGCAGTGCCGGGGAAGAGAACAGGGATGTGGATCTCCAAGTGCTGAAGCCGGAGCTCAGGCTGGTTTATGGAGACCTGAGGGGCGCGGTGAACTTTGACTGTGCCCTGGGCTCTGAGACGGCAACAGTGCCCAAATTTCTGTGCCGGGTAGGTACCGGGGAAAGCTGTGATCTGGTCATCAACACCCAGGGGAAGATAGCTCCAGGCTTTGAGGGCAGGATACTGCTCACCTCCGTGGACAAGAATGGCTCCTTCAGCATACTGATCAATGGCCTGAGGAAGGAGGACGCGGGGCGCTACCTGTGCGGAGCCCATCCTGCCAATCTGGTGGAGGAAAGCTGGCCCCTCCAGGCTTGGCAGCTCTTCGTTAATGAGGGTGAGACCCTGGGGCGGGTGGTGGGAAGGGAAGAGGGAGAAACAATCTAATGAGAGTCTAGCTCAGCTCTCTTTTCCTGTGCATGAACTATGAGTGAGTCTATTCATCAATATTCATCAGTCAGTCTACAACATCCACTTGCTGACGGGCCCTGAACTGGATGTGATATGGGCAGCAGTACAGGAGAGCTAGATAACATGTCTCTTCCTTGTGTTAAAAAAATAATTGCCGTGGAGTCAATTCTGACTCATCGCGACCGCATGTGTGTCAGAGTAGAACTGTGTTCCATAGGGTTTTCAAAGCCCGGGACCTTTAACAAGTAGACACCAGGCCTTTCTTCCGAGGAGCCTCTTCTTCTCTGTTATCAAACCTCTGTCCCTGCTTAATAGGAATGAGGACAGTGAAGTTCCTGATTGAGGCAAGACTTGCAGATTGTCTGGGTTTCAGAGATCCATGGTTGCCGCCCCCGTGAAGACCTCATGTGGAAGCCCAGTGCCATGGCAGGACCTGCAGGGGTCATTTGTCACCTGCCACTGACCCCTGAGCAGGACGGCACCTCATCCATCACATTCAGACAGGAGAAGGATTGGCTTCTCTTGGCCTTAAAGCTTTCCAGTAAGGCAAAGCCCCAGCCTCTGTATTTTCTGCTCCAACATGTTAGTCAGGGTTACTTGTTAGTCAGCAGGATCTGGCCTATTCAGCTCTACTTTGAAGAACCATCAACGTGGTAAGTACCGAAATCCCTGTTCCTTCTTACCGTGGAGCACTCTACATAGAGTTGCCCTCATAAGAAAGAGCAAACGAGTGCTTGCAATTCAAAATATCTGCCCTGGTGACTTTTCTTTAAAGGACTCATATTCCCTATGCATACATCTCTGGGTCCTCGCCATATCTCTCCACATCTGCAGTCCGCCAGGGTTCTCACTGGAACTCAGCGTTGGCTACTTTGAAAATGGCTGTCTTTCTTTTTGAGGTGCTCTTCAGGGTCCTCAACAATTAAACTTATCTGTGCTACCCAGTTTGAGTTTTAAATGCCATTCTAAATATATTTTCTTAATTTAGAGAAAACCTAAATCCATTTTTTTATGTGTGACGCATTAATAGATAGACACAAATGTACACAGAGGGAGATTTTGTAAGAAGTCAAATGGGAAGGGCTGATATGCTCTCCTTACACTCCTACCCTTCTCTACTCAGAATAAAGTGAGGAAAGAGAGCAAGATGCCCAGACTGGTGGTTAAAGTCACTGGAGTCTGATCCTGATGGCTTTTGCTACAGGCCCTGGGTCATTAGGAAAGTCTTTTTCATTTTCTGAGGAGGGTGAGGTGATTAGCACAACTTCACTCCCCAGCCTGGCTGGGGAAAAACTGCTCAGGCCATGCAAGGCTATTACTGTGTTGCCCTTCATCCCACCTCTCTCTGTGCTTCTAGAGACCAACATTCCCCATAGTCCCTCTGTGGTGAAAGGTGTGCCCGGGGGCTCTGTGACTGTCCTCTGCCCCTACAACCCTAAGGAAACCAACCAACTGAAGTCCTGGTGTCGCTGGGAAGATACTCAACATGACAGATGCCCACTGTTGGTGGAGAGTAAGGGGCTGGTTAACCAACAGTATAAGGGCAGGCTGGCACTGTATGAAGAGCCGGGCAATGGCACCTACACCATCATACTCAACCAGCTCACTACTCAGGACGCTGGCTTCTACTGGTGTCTGACCAATGGTGATAGTCGCTGGAGGTCCACTGTGGAGCTCAAGGTTGTTGAAGGTAACAGCTGAAGTGGGGTGAGAAGGGAGGCAGCCCCAGGACCTCTCCAGTCAGCAGCAGCATCACCCCTCCCCACCAACACTCACATTCTCCCTCTAGTCCCACCTAACACCATGCTGGATGGGACAGTTCTCAGGACAGAACTTACCTGCCCAGAGGTCCCATTTCAAACCTGTAACAAGCACCCTTCCATGCACACTTCCTCACCCTTGAAACACTTCCTATTATCAAGAACACTGTCCTCTTTTACAGTATATACAGTGGCACTTGAAGGAGAGTATTGAGTATAGTTCATTGTATTAAGACTAGAAAAGGAGAGAAGAGAAAGGAAAGCAGACTGAAGTTAATGTACAAAGTTCTATGTTCCATGATAGACCCTGGATTGATTCATGGTGGTCATCAATAATAATAATTAGACAGCTAGTTGCATCTCTGATGTATTCAATATAATGTATTTATTTACAAGGCTGTCCAAAGAGAAAATGGACTATGGACACAGGTCTCTACCACAGTCATATCCCTGTATAGTATCACCAGTGCCAACTCCTGTTCCTATTTCTTCCTCTCTCCCTGCTCCAGGAGAACCAAACCTAAAGGTACCAGAGAAAGTCACTGCTTCATTGGGAGAGACGCTCAAGCTCCCCTGCCACTTCCCATGCAAGTACTACTCATACGAAAAATACTGGTGCAAGTGGAGCAATAGGAGCTGCCAGAACCTGCTCAGCCAAGAGGAAGGCCCCAGCCAGGCCCTTGTGAACTGCGACCAGAACAGCCAGCTTATCTCCCTGACACTGAACTCAGTCACTAAGGCTGATGAGGGCTGGTACTGGTGTGGAGTGAAGCAGGGCCACAGTTACGGAGAGACCGTGGCTGTCTACGTGACGGTAGAGGAGACAACAAACGGTGAGTCTCCAGGGGCAAGGCGTGCACTCCACAGCACCACAGAGGCTTCTTAATCAGGGGTGGTCCCAAGGTTTGGCTAGAAGAGGTTAGGGGAGGGGGAGATTTAGCCCACACATAATCTCATTTGGTCCTCCAAAATGGCATCCCAAATAAACATACAAACTAAGTAAAAATAGTGGGCTTGCTGTTTAACCTCAGCTTCAAGGCAAATCCCATAGTTCTCCTTTCAACACAGTGGTTAAGAGTTATGGGTGCTCACCAAAAGGTCGGCAGTACAAATCCACCAGCTGCTCCTTGGAAACCCTATGGAGCAGTTCTACTCTGTCCTACAGGGTCACTATGAGTTGGAATTGACTCAATGGCAATGGGTAAGCCTCTTCTATAGACAGAAATTCCAGACACTGTCATAAATCAATTCAGTCATGCTCGATCTCTATTGCCAAAGCCTGCTCTCAGAAGAAGGCCAGATATCTTCAATTACAAGGTCTGGTAAAGAAAATTAAGGCAGCCTCTTCCAATAACATTTGCATTGTAAGCCTCTTCTTTATGTCATGTGAAATGTTGTGTCCCTAATTAGGGTATTTTTAGTCCCCCTTAGAAGTTCTATAGGAGTCCCTGGTTGGTGCAAACAGTTAATGTGCTCAGCTGCTAACCAAAAGGTTGGAGGTTTGAGTGCACCCTTGGAAGAAAGTCCTAGTGACCTACTTCTGAAAAACCAGCCATTGAAAATCCTTTGGAGCATAGTTCTACTCTGACACACGTGGGATCACCATGAGTCTGAATTGGGTCAATGGCAACAGGAAAAAAAAGAAGTCCTATTGTATCGGGGTCCACCTGGTCTGGCTCACCGTGGGGGATGCGGGAGATTATTAACAAACTATCACCAGGGGGCAGCACCATCACACCAAGCCCTACTGCCAGGAAGCCTTGGGCAGCATTTCAAAGCTGTGAAAAATTGTCCTGTCTTTAAGTGATGGGTCAGCCCTTATGCACAGCTGGATCTATGATGGAGCCTCGTAGATGGAAATAAGTGTGGTATTAATAGGGTAGAGATCATCTATGACAAACTAGAGAAGGCCACCATTCCATTTCTAACTCCATTCTGAGTCCTAGCCCAACAGCCTGGAGCTACAACATTAAGCCTGAGCTTCCTAATGAAATCTCACTCCTCACCTTTGCTAGTCTCAAGGAGAAAAACCATACCCACCCTTCCCCTACTCTGCTCTGCTCCAGAGTCCCACGATGTCAGCCAAGCAAGTGCTGCTCCCAGAACGGAGGTGGTGGAGGCAAATGTACGGGAGTTAGGGAACAAAGCCGTCCAGGATCCCAGGCTTGCTGTGGTCGAGGATTCTGAAGATCCACCTGGTGGAAGCAGCGTGAACACATATCCCAGCAGGTAAGGAAGAGTTCAGGGCTCTCCGGTTGGGTACTTCCCAGAGGCTGAGTCTGGGCCACCAGGCCCCAGGAGGAGAGCCTGCCCACCTCTTAAACAGTGGGGGCCACCCTTACTGCCTCTGCTTGTGCTTGGGAGGGGCCGATGGTGCTCTCTGGCCTTCTCCTGTGGCTGGAGCAGGGTCTTAGTTAGCTAGTGCCGCTATAACAGAAATACTACAAGTGGTTGGCTTAACAAGCAGAAATTTATTTTCTCACAGTTTAGGAGGCTAGAAATCTGAATTCGAGGCACTGGCTCTCCCATTCTGGGGAAAATCTTTTTCTCAGCTTCTCTAGCTTTGTTCTCAACATTCTTTTGAGATCTCCGTTTGTCCTCCCTTGCTTCTGTGCCTAAGCTCCTGTTTTAATATCTCAAAGGTTTAAGATATACCCTACACTGATATGGCCTCATTAACGTAACAAAAAAACCCATATTCCCAAACAGAATTACATCCACACGATAGGATTCGCAACACATATTTTGGGGTACAGTATTCAATCCACTGCAGGCCATGTTTATAATTCAGTTCAATACCTCAGGATTAGGAAGCAGAGAAGGCCCAGTCCTTGTCCTTCCCATGTCTGGGAAGGCTTCTTGGAAGACTGGAGCTAGGGAGCTGTAACAGGAGGAGCAGATGGATCAGCCTGGGAGAAAAGCAACCAGAGTCAGCTGGCCAGTGCATCCTGGGCCCCAGGCTTCCCTTTCAGCGTTTAACTGACTTAATCCTCTTCCAGTGCCGAAGGACAAGGCAGGGGCTCCTCAGTGCTGGTCTCCACCCTGGTGCCCCTGGCCCTGGTGCTGGTGCTGGGGGCTGTGGTTGTGGGGATCCTCAGAGCCCGGCACAGGAAAAATGTTGGTGAGTTCCCGGGATGCTCCCTGCCCACCTCCAATCCTGCGCCCTCCGTCCTGGCCCCGCTCGCTGCCTGCAGAGGAGGCTGCCACTATTTCCTCACCTTTGTAGGCTGAAAGAAAGGATTCTGGGAAAGGAGGGTGGGGAAAGACAAACCCACACATACCCCAAACTTATACTAAGTGCTGCTGTCCAAACACTAGGAGTCTCTGGGATTCACAAACAATTAAACGCTTAACTACTAACTGAAAGGTTGGTAGTTCAAACCCACCCAAAGATGCCTCAGAAGAAAGGCCTGGTGATCTGCTTCTGAAAAGTCACAGCCATGAAAACCCTATGGAGCACAGTTCTACTCTGCAACACATGGGGTCGCCAAGAGTTGGAACTGATTCCATGGCAGCTGGTTACTGATCTAAATACTGTCTCTTGAAGGGCACCTCCGATTGCTCAGTGTCTAAGTTCAAAAGAAGAGGATGTCGGGAGACCTGGCCTCCCATCCTACTGTGATAACTAAATGGCTGCGTGATTTGGGGCAAGTACTCATTTCATGCCTCCATTTCCTCATTGCTTAAATTAGGAATAATAAAAACGATCTCAACAGGCTGATGTGAGGATGAAATGAGGCACTGTGCATTGAAAGGTCACAGGGTGACAAACAAATTCAGGAATTACTGAGTCTTGATTATCCATGAAAAGGGACTGGGGCAGAGACTCAGATAATCCAAAAATCACTTCCATTGAGCTTTGGACAATAGTCAGGGATGAACAAACAGAGATGCCCACTCCCACCTCAGCTGTTCTGTGGGGCTGCAGCAAATCCCCCACAGAGGAGCTGCACATCCCTAAGCTTATGGTTCTCACACCCACCCCCCATCCCTGTGCCAACTCTTCTTTCTCTCGGACAGACCGAGCTTCAATTAGAAGCTACAGGACAGACATTAGCATGTCGGACTTGGACAACTCCAGGGATTTTGGCACCAATGACAACATGGGAGCCTCTCCAGTCGCTGGAGAGACATCCCTCAGAGGACAAGATGGTATGTGCCCCCACTTGAGGGAATGTTCAGTCCCCAAAAGAGCAAGAACTGGACCTGACTCCACATCTGGGGTGGAAATATTGGCTAGTGTGGTCTAATCCATCTCCTCCTCTTCACTCAGACTTCATCGACACCACAGAGAGCACCATGGACCACGAAGAACCCAAGAAGGCAAAAAGGGTAAGGGTGAGGAGGGAGGAGAAGGCTTCATTTGTGTGGCAGGAAATGCAGCATGAGGGACTGCTGTCAGACATCAGGAAAAACTACCTCAAAGTGGGGCCAGATCCCAGAATAGGGAAGGTGTTGCAAGTAATACTGAGAACTTTTTTTGAGAGAAAGACGTATCTTACTGAGAAGAGATCGGTTTCTGTGTGTTGGTGTGGAGGAGGATGAAGAAGGAGATGAGCTGCATTTATAGGCTTTAAAGCCCTGATGGTGCAACAGTTAAGCGCTCCACTGCTAATCGAAAGGTGGGCAGTTCGAACCTACCCAGTGGCTCCACAGGAGAAAGACCTGGCAATCTGCTCCTGTAAAGATTACAGCCTAGAACACTCTATGGGGCAGTTCTACTCTGTCATATGGGGTTGCTATGAGTTGAAATCAACTCCACAACAACAAACTTGCAGGAGGGAGGGAGACTGGGAAATGAGGAAGGCAAGTACATAGAAGATTTGGCCACAGGGTGAAAAGATTAGATATCAAAGGCTGGTGATTAAGCGAATGCTCTTCCTGGGCTGTGGGGCTCATGGACATCAGGCCACCTGCCCTCCCTTAAAGGTTTGCTTGGGGCCAACCTTTTGCTGCGCTTGGAAGACATTTGCTCATGGCAGGCAATTCGATAGTCACTAGAAGCCATCGCCCACCCCACCCAAGTGCCATAGTACTTGAAATTCCACCAAGGCTACCTTTACCTTTGAGTTACACATTGCCCTCCTCTCATGCTCCCTAAGGTTCAGGGGCCCTCAGAAGGATAACACTTCATACTTCTAATCCACTTTGAGGGCTAAGGTGAGCCTGACCCAAGCCAAGGCATTTTCAGTTACCTCATATGCATGCGAAAGCTGACAATGAATAAGGAAAACCAAAGAAGGATTGATGCCTTTGAATTATGGTGTTGGCGAAGAATACTGAATATACCATGGACTGCCAGAAGAATGAATAAGTCTATCTTAAAAGTACAACCAGAATGCTTCTTAGAAGCAAGGATGGTGAGACTTCGTCTCATGTGCTTTGGACATGTTACCAGGAGGGACCAGTCCCTGGAGAAGGACATCATGCTTGGTAAAGTAGAGGGCCAGCGAAAAAGAGGAAGACCCTCAACGAGATGGAGTGACACAGTGGCTGCAACAATGGGCTCAAACATAGCAACGATTGTGAGGATGGCACAGGACCAGGCAGTGTTTTGTTCTATTATACATAGGATCGCTGTGAGTCGGAACCGACTGGACAGCACCTAACAACAATAACCTCAATCCTGAGGAGTTAATGCTTTTTATCAAACCTACTTTCCCTCACGATAGCAGAGAGCCCAGCATTTGCAACAAGTAGGAAAGCCAGTTAGTCCTGCAGACAGCCTTCTCCTCTAGCCTTGTGGTACTGAAAGGTTACCTCTATGGGCTGGTGGAGCAAGAAAAATCAAATCCTCTGTGGCTGGCACCACCCTTGCCACCTTGACCTGTGGACTGTGTGCAGAGCTTCCGGGGACAGGCCCAGAAACAGAGGTGGTTCCACTCCGTGTGTCAGAAAGAGGTAGTGAGACAAAGGGAGGTATTTTTAGAGGTTGCAACTTTCCAATTTCTCAAAATAAGACCCTCTTGGTGAGCATAGGGCCCGACTAAGAGCAGTGGGTTCACACAGGCCTCTGTTGCTTGGGCCCAAGATGCTGAATCTAGGATATTTAGTGCACCGCCTCCCTCCCGACCCCCCAGCACTAAGCCAGGGCCCCAATCACTGATTGACTCTTGTCCCGTTGCTCCCTCAGTCATCCAAGGAGGAAGCCGACATGGCCTACACTGCCTTCCTGCTCCAGTCCAACAAGATAGCTGCAAGTGTCCAAGACGGCCCCCGCAAAGCCTAAGCAGCGCGCCGGCACCTCTTCCCTTTGCCCGTCACAATCACCTCAGAATCACATTGATCTCAGGGCCTCGGCTCCAGGGGGCTCCTGCTGTCTGCACTCATACCACACCTAGGCTTTTCCTATCTGTCCTCAGAGGGTGTGCTGGTCCCCTCCTCAGTGGCCTAATTGTTCCTGTTTGGCGGGGAGTGGTGTGTGGGTTCCACCCACCTGCAGCTTATTTCTAATGAAAGAACTTAAGGTATGGAAAGAGAATTAAGGTCTTAGAGGGGCCTCTCAGAAAGAAGAGAGAACAGGGTGGGTAAGGAGCGAACATCAGAAGAGAAAGTCATTCAGGACCTCTCTGCACCCTTATTATGGGATGCCAATCGGATTTCCCTTCCATCCCTTCATTCTTTCCTTCCTCCCTTCCTCTCTTATCCTTTCCTTCATTCCAGGCGCTCTGCTAGACACTGGAACAGACATGCCACCAACCCCACTAGCAGCCCTACTGAAAACATCACTGAGTCCCTGGAAGCCACCACTCCTCTCAGTGTGTGTTTACACAATAAGACCTCAAACTCTCACCAGGTAGACCCATCTTTGCCCTTAATGAGAGGAATCATAAATACCTGGAGTCCTAAGGCATTAGGATTCCTGTAGAACAGGCATGCACATGAATAATCATTAACACATATTCTTACAATTTTATAGAGAACTTCGGGGTCCTGAGAGGTTTTCCCAAGGGCACCAGGTGAGATAAACCAGTGTGAAAACTAGATTTAGGGTCTCCTGTCCTTTTGACCAGGGCTTTCTCGGCAAGAACCCCTGCTACTCTGGTGGAGGAGGAGTTTTCACTTTAGAATAAGGAGGAGAAAGAGAAATATGTAAAAGGAGACTGATTTCTCACAGACCCCCACCTCAGGAGAGGTGACACTCTCCCTTTCTGCCACTCACTTGGACTCAAGAAGATGAAAGGACAACCCCTTATAACCCTGCATCTTTGAAGCGTTCCGAGCGGAAGGAAAGATAAGAGGATGTCTGTTTGACGGAGGCAGGAAGGGGCTGATGTCCAAAGAGCTAAGGTTTAAGGTCTTTCTTCCTCTGAGCTCTGTACTTCAACCAACATCCATAAGCTGGCACTTGCTAACAAATAAAAATGGCACTTAGTTAATAATTAAAGACATGATTGTGATCAAGAAGTCTCAGACTGTATTCCATCCCACCCCGACCCCCACATGCTGTGTCTCAGACAACCTTTTTAGAGCATTTTGCTTTGGTCCCACTTTTAGGCACCCCAGGACATGTGCCTAAATCAAAGACTCCCCCACATCCAGTGCTGGGCTGAAGGGGGCTAGGAGAGCACCTGAAAGTGGGATCTTCAATAAAAGAATAGTTTAGTGTCCACTTCTGTGACCAAGACCCCAAAGCTCTATATTAGAGAACATAATTAAGACTATTTTATAATGGACTGAACTGGAAGCAGGTGTAAGCAGTGCTCACCTCAGGCATAAAAAAATCTTGATCAAACATCCATGGGATATTCAACCTTGAATCTCATACCTTTCTGGGATAACCTCCAAGATGAAGAGGCTGTTAATTAAAACTGCAATAATCAAATGAGTAAACGCTCTCTGTAGATTATCAACTAGAGACTAGATAAACATTAGGGGATAGCTAGCAAAAATGATAACTTAGATTTTAGGAAAAGGGAAAAAAAACACCAAACCCATTGCTGTCGAGTCAATTCCTACTCATAGTGACCCTGTAGGACAGAGCAGAACTCCCCAAAGGGTTTCCAAAGAGCAGCTGGTGGATTAGAACTGCTGACTTTTTGGTTAGCAGCCACAGCTCTTAACCACTGCACCACCAGGGCTCCAAGGTTTTAGAATAGTTGATCCAAAGCCCCTTTTGAAGGGCAGTGCTTAGATAAAGGACCCCTTGTTTAGTAAGGCCACGCCTAGGCGCTAAGCCACATCATATCCTGTAAGGAATGTCCAAACTGTCCGTTGGCGGCTCCCCTCACCCCCGCCATCCCTCAGGGCCTGTGTGTGTCCAGAGTTCTCTCTGGGAGAGAGCTCTCCATAGTCTTCTATCCTGCCTGATATGGGGAGAACCTTTGCTTCTCCCCAGGCCTTGCTCCAGATGCTGCACCTTTCCACACCTGCCCTTGTTGAGGTCTCAGACTTCATTTCTTGGGTTTCCACTCCAGACCTACCGACCGCAGGGCCCAGTCTAGAGTCCAGGGTGCTGACCTGGTCAGAGCATTGGGCTCCTCTCCAGCCAGGAGAACCAGTCATCGGAAATGTTTATTTTACTGCTCTCTACAAGGTGGATGCATATCTAGCTTTTCCTGTAGTGACAGTAAATCATTTTGAAACCAAAACTACAAAGTGTGTCGTAACCTATCGCTGTCTTACCCCCTAGCAGCTGCTCCCGCACTCACCCAAGGGCCGAGCCCATGGCAGAAGGATTAAGATGCAGCTTCCATATTAATACAGACAACCACAAACCAATCCCAAGTTCATGTAGCTTATACCGGTTCCTGGAATCAAAGGCCAAGAAATGTCACCACAGCCACTGACAATCTTACATTATTCCCAGCAGATACTGTCAGTAGGTGATAGCAATATAATCATGCACTGACCACAGAGCAGTTCTACCCTGCAGTACATGGGGTCGCCCTGTATTGGCATCTACTCGACGGCAGCTAACAACAGCCCTAAATCCACCTGCTCCTCATGCAACACACTGGACAGAGAACCCCTTTATGAAGAAGGAATGTGGTCCACAGCCTAATCCAGACGTCTAACAAGCTAAAAAGTCACCAACTTGGAGGGCGGGCAGGTAGCTTCTTAGGCTGTCATAACACGAACTGAGTGGCTTAAAACCTCAGAAATTTAATCTCTCACAATTCTGGAGGCTGCTGTGTTGTTATGTGTCATCGAGTCGATTCCGACTCATAGCAACCCTATAGGACAGGGTAGAACTGCCCCATGGGGTTTTCTGGGCTGTAATCATTATGGGAGCAGATCACCAGGTCTTTACTTCCACGGAGGCTCTAGTGGGTTCAAGCCACCAACCTTTCTGATAGCAGCTGAGTGCTTAGCCATTGTGCCACCAGCAGGGTTCCTTGTTCTGGAGGTTAGAAGTCCGAAACCAAGGTGTTGACAGAGTTGGTTCCTTCTGGAGGCTCTGAGAGACATCTGTTCCCTGCCTGTCTCCTAGCTTCTGGTGGTGGCTGGTAGTCCTTGGCGTCCCTTGGCTTATAGACACACCACTCCCGCCTCTGCCCTCATCATCACATGGGGTTCTCTCTGTGTTTCGTGTCTCATATGGCCTTTTTATAAGGACACCAGCCATTGGATTCAGGGCCAACCTTAATCCAGTATGACTTCCTCTTAACTAAACTAATTACATCTACAAAGATGGTATTTCAAAACAACATCACATTCTGAGGCCCTGGATGGACGAGAATATTGAGGGTACACTATTTAACGCAGTTCAGGGGAGTAGCAATCAACTATGGGACAGATGACAATAAACCAATTAGCAACGACCAGTGTCCACAATTATTCAGGCAATTGCTTAAATATTCCTGATGACAGGAAAATCTTCCTCAGGTTCTTGATTTATCTTGAGATTTTTTTTTTTCCAAAATCAGTTATGTAATGATGTGCGTACGCATTACTAAGTTCCAACAATGGCCTGGAATTGGTTTATAGCAGCTGATTTGTTTTTTGTTTTTAATTATAATAACTTTTATTTAATCTATCAAAACTATTACCATTTCAACATATAATCAATGTAAAATTATTAATGAGCTAGTTTATGTTTTTTTGGTACTAAGTCTTCGAAACCTGGTGTATACGTCACACTTACAGCACATCTCAATTTGGACTAGCCACATTTCAAGTGCTCAATCTGACTGGTGACTACTGTAGTAGATAGCACGGTTCTAGACTATAGGTTTTTTTTAATTAATAATATATTTTATTTAACCAAATATATCCAAAATATTATCACTGCCACATGTAATCAGTATCAAAAGGTATTAATGATATATTTTTTATACTAAGTCTTCAAAATTTGGCATTTCTTAATTTGGCTGCTAAATTTTCTTTTTTTTAAATTTTTTTTTTATTGTACATTAGGTGAAGGTTTACAGAACAAATAGTTTCTCATTAAATAGTCAGTACACATATTGTTTCATGACATTATTTAACAACCCCAAGCAAGACATGTCAACACTCTCCCTTCTTGACCTTGGAGGATCTTTTTCACTTTTTATTTTTGGTGAAAATATACATAGCCAAAGTTATGCCATTTCAAAGATTTCTACATGTACAATTCAGTGACATAGATTACTTTCTTCCAGTTGTGCTGCTATTCTCACTATCCTTTTCCAAATTATTCCATCACCATTATCT